CTATATCAATCACAATTGTGGAAGAAATATCAGGTCAAACGATTAAGATATAATAATTTTATCAAGTATTATTTATAATATTGGACATTAGTATCTATGTGAAAACTATTAATTGACGCCTATTATCACTATTTTTTAAGAATTGAAAGACGCCAATTAGCATTTCCCATAAATATTGGCTTACGTGAGAGAAAATTATAAAGTGAGTCGAATTCATCCTTTGAGCAAGCTATCGGTAGTTATTATTACATATTATTTAACAATTTCTTGTAAAATGTATTCATTATATTGCGTACCTCCCGCTGAAAGGCTGATCCGTGAAACTACAACTATAGGTTTAAATATTTTAAAATCATCTTTGACATTGATTCACGCTAATGACTTTGTTCAGTAAATTTTAATTTTATTTTACGCATTCCAAAATTCAATAAACAACTTTTGCAATTGTTTACAAATACTAATCTGTAAATCGTTTTGTTTTGTTACCTTCAAGTCTTGAAAAATTTCATTTTCAAGTTGAGTGAAGTATTTAAACGTAAAAACTTTTTGTGCATTAACTATTAAAAGTTATACGAATGTTTTTCATTGGGAGTAACCTTATAAAGATTTAAATATGTTTAAACAACTTTTAAAACGGATGAAACACCTCAATACGTACACTTTACAGATATTTTTTATTTATTTTGATAATTGAGAGTTTAAAACGAAATCTTTTCGCAATACAAAAATTTCACAGTACATCGAACTAAATTTCGCGCAGAAAACTGATTTATTAGTGGTTTATTAATGTACATTATTAAAGCATGCTTAAAAATAAATCAATATGCGTGTGGTTGTATTGGATGTAAAACACCTTCATAGAATAAACTATTATGTTCACTCATTGGTATTTGTACATAAATAAATATGTATCATACATTTTTTCAATTCTGGAACTGTATTAGAGTATATTACATAGGGGTTACCTGTATTGTAACACATTTATTGATAGTTTTCTTTTATAATTTGCTTTTTAATTACTTTGTCAATGGGGAAAGAAAAGGATGTGATTATAAAAAGGATTATTTGCATATTTTCAATCAATCGATTGTATTCATTCATTCTTCATGTATGTATATGAACAATTCAATATTTTACTTTGTACATGTATTTTACTGCCATTTAGTTAAATGTGTGTAGAAATATATTTAGATTTAAACATGATTAAAGAAAGATAGCTTCTATCGTTGGAATTATTGAACGGAATGAAACGCACAGTGAGGCACACTGAAGACATACTGTAGTAAAAGAAATATAATTAAGGTAACAGAAAACATGGAAACATTTCTCAAGTCTTTTTGCAGTCGGAAAAAGCAGCAAATGAATATGTTGCGAGGATTCTCAAGTAGCGTGAAATATGAAGGTCTTGTTCTGTGTACTGAATTCGATAGTCATTGAAAGCACAGTCTTTTCCATTTACATGTATTTATTCATTAGTTAGTATTTAGTTTACATATTGTATCGTATAAAAATGAACGTGCGTATGGTATGTTGGATGAAAGGTACAATAAAGTAGAATTTCAAGAGCAATTTTTATATTTTGAATATAATAATAATGATGGTACCTATTAACAATAATACTTCAACATTTATTTATTGAATTAGCAATTTGAATAAACTTAAAAACTGGCAGTTTTTCATTCACACTTCCATTTCTCGACTTTAATATGGTTGAATAGAAAGGTTGACTTGACGTTTTCCTTCACTATTGTCCTCTCTTAGTACGTTGTACAGTTCGTTGAATCCACGAAGTGGGAAAGTCTGACGTACGCCGTCGCGTTACTCGTAATTAATCGTTACCGACATTAAGGAAGTCGCGTCAGAGAGGGAAAGAAAAAGAGGGTTACCTTTTCTAAAAGAACTACTCTCGACAAGTCGAAACATTTTCTCGTTTTAACTAGCCAATTTTCATTCAATCTTCATTCCAACTTGTCCCTCATTGAAAGCGAATTCACTGGAATGCCCTTGTTACTTGAAGTATCTAAAGTTTCGTCGTTGCCAGTACTCGTACAACTACCGATTCTAATTACCATTATATGTACAATCCCAACATCAAGGATTCTTATTTTTTTCCACAGGGACTTGGAGTCTAGCATGAAGTGCATCCAGACGTATACGCTTGACTGTCTCGAGATGAAGCAAAGGACACACTTCCATAATCTGCTCGCCAGTACCAATAAGCTCGTCATGGAACTTTGTCACGATGGCCCTTATCAGGATGGTGAGTTAAATTTGTAACTGACATTTTGTTTTATAAGTCAAAAATTAACCATTCAACTGCCTTTGACGAGTATACATGTCATCTTAAAACTCGAAACTGATACTAATCTTTTCAACAACAAATTAGTTATTCTTTCAGATACACATGTACTTCTTCTTCGTTTTGCTTTAGTTTTTCGTTAGAATATATTATAGCTACATTTGCACTGCGTTTGGCGAGTACACACTTCATTGCTTGACCTTATTGCGCGCACAATAAGAGATTTTTTAAACTAAATTTCACAATTAATTGGTTAAGGGTGGCAATATCGACTACTGATCACCTTTTGTCATTTGGCACGTCGTATTACAAAAAGAATAATAATGTTAACTCTACTACTTACGTAATGGTACTTAAACATTTAACACTTAGGCAACCACCTAAAAAAACTAGAACTATAATATTTTACATCAACTTTAATAGAACTCGTAATTAGAAAGAAACGACTGATACGTTGTTTAAAACCACTACATTGTTTTTGTTTATTTTTTCATGTTGCAGCTTTAATTATACTATTCCGCAAAAAGATAATGTATGAAAACAAATTTATGATAAGCAATAACAATCTCATTCAATAAGTCTAATAAAAATAATATATTATTGTGAAAACAATGTTTTTTGTAATTTTAATAAGAAATACACTATAAGTTACAGTTGATCTCAACATGAGGTATAGCATTTATGAAGTCATATATGAACTGGTACAATTGAATTCGTTTCATTAGCAAATGCAATTTTATAGAAAAATATTATCCTATAATATTTATAGAACTATTAATATTAATATAAAGGGTATGTATTAACTCCCGATCTTATGATTTCTTTCGCTTACCAAACTACTTTGTTCTTAATAATTAGTACTTAGGAAATAGTATTTTATTTTTGCTGATAACAAATGAATACCTTCATGTTTATTAAATCAAACCCGAAACTTCACCACGGAACTAACTCCACATTGTATAGCAAGCGGTTAACATGCAAGGGGTACATTGTATCGAAGTTCGCTACAAACCTGTATACAGTTGGACTTCCTATAACTCGAAAGATATGTTCTGCGTTATGGGGATTTCGTGGTTCTGTATAACAATACAAAACCAAGAGCATAAAAGGTTACAATTAAACAAATATATTTGTTTTAATATAACAAAAACTATTTTATGAATTCATATTTTACAATATAAGTTTTTGTTTCTATTTTTCTTCTAATGATATTGTTTAACTTACTTCTCGTAGAAATCTTCACAGTCACGGATAAAAGATATTAGTTCTTATTTCTGATATTAAAAATGGCGACAAAGGCTGACTTACTTAATTAATCGATCCATTAAGTTTGTTCAATCGCGATAAATTCTGTTTTGCAATAATACAACCTGTTCTGTATAGAAATAACTGTCTCACAAATTGCACTTTAAACGAGTTCTCCTTATTGCATATCAGTTAAAGCAATGTATTAAATCTTTGCGGACGATGATTTGTAAAAGTATTAAAATCCTTTTGCATAGGAAGTTTAATTATACGCAAATTCTTCAGTAGTGAGGCAGAAGAAAACTATATGAATCTTTCGTTGCTTAAATAACTAAATAATTTGTTTATATCTTTCAATTGCAGGTAAGGTAGACCGAGGCGAATCAGATAAAAATAAGAATATTAGCGATATTTGTTACGTTGTTATAGACATCAGCATGCTGACTGTCCATGTTACTTTATACATCTTTCATACACCTAATTCAATACATCTTCAGTTGTTTGAAATCGTTGTTTGCCACGAGCACGTGTTAGTGATAAGTATTAGGAAACTCAAAAATGTTCGTTTTATAAAGAAGAAACTAAAAAATGAGAAATATGTTATTCACTTCCGGAATTTAGGGCAAACCAGATATTTCCATTTTTCAGTTTTTTACCTATAAAATAAAGATTTTTAAGATTTCTAACATTTTCCTTTGCTGATACTGAAGTTGAATGTGTATTAATAACAAATTTATAAAAAGAACTGTTGATTCTAAGTTCTAACTATTAATTTTTCGCTGTTCAATCTGAACTGATCCGATTCATCTCGGTCTAGTCTCCTACAGAAGCTTGATGTCGCTAAAATGACAATATTCGTCCTTAAAAGATTAAAGTGGCTTCAGAGATTTATACATTGTGCTACAAGTGAGCGATTTTTAAGCATACGTAATATCTTATGTTACAGTCCGTATTGTAGGAGTACTGTATTATAAAGAATCTTACTGGAAATGCTTCTAACGAAGTTAAAATTGTTGGATTATGAGAGCTGTATTGTAAGCGTATATAGTGCATTGCCGGACTGACAAGTTGGCAGCGACTCTGTAGATAATTTTAAAACATGGCATGCACAAAAGAATCACTGTGAGGATATTAGACAACTATTGTAGCGATATGTGCATAGTATAGTATGTGTGTGTAATCCGTGCAGAGTGTCGGTTGCATTATTGACTTTAATAACCAATGGATTTCCTGCAGATTATGCTCTAGCCTATATGCGCATTTGCGGTCATTATGGCACGAAATGTATCTTCTATGAGTCGCTGGTTGTAGGATTAAATTATATCCTTCCGTCGTAGGCAGATTTACTCTTTGTCGTCTTTACCAGAATTTGTTACGCTTTATGAAATTTCATATTTTCTTTCCGGCTCGTTTCCTCGATTTTCTCGCGTTAACCATGGGGCGACTGCTTTGCGTCTCGGAGAAACTGAATAATGCAGCATTGCGCGTGATATTCATTTATTTGCGCAATTACACCGAGATTCATTAAAATCCTAAATTTACACACGCAACATTCGTATGTTCAGCATTAATTTAAATGTTTGCGGAATATTTTAATACAAAGTTTCCTATTTCAATTTTAATAAATGTTTTTTGTGTTATTAATTTATTACAATGTCAATTACTTGTTATATTTGTATTAAAATTTTAAAACAAAATTTCCAACTGAAACTTGTACATGTTTCTTTATATCACATTTATTCAGTTTATTTTAATTTATTACAGTATTAGTTTAAGGCTGATTGCACTTACCTATCTTCTTCCGTTATTTATAGATAATGAATTTAATGTAATTTTAATTTTCTTTCACATCTCTGTAGATGTGAGTATTAACTCATAAAATTCTTTCAAGTTGTATAATGTCGAGACGGATACATGAATGATTAGTCGAAGATTTAATTTTTGTATTCACATTAATTGTCATCGAATAATTCGAGGCGCGTGCGAAATTTAGATATTTATAAACAGTGAATAGGCACACAGAATTTCATTTTATGTTAAACATATTTTCTAGTGTACGCATTTAATGACTTACTATGAAACTTCACATTTCTGTAGATAAGTTAACCAGTTTTCTGCGTCTGATCTTAGAGCTTGAAATGATACAAATTCTTTCAATGATTATTCTTTATTTTTTCAGATAAACATGTAATTCTTCTTTCTTTTGTTTAGGTTTTTCATTAAAATATACCCTAGGTGTATTCCTCTTGCGTTTGACGAATGTACACTTCATTTTATGATTTTATTGATTAAACAAGAGATTTTTTAAATTAAATTCTACAGTTAACGGGTTAAAGAACGCCATAATTGATTAAAATGTTATTTCTGTCGCAGATGGTTTCAATGGATTGAACATAATAGTAAATTAATGCTAATGTCTATCGACCCTGTATTTCATGAATTTTGTATGATTTTTGTACGGTATAAATACGTAATTTATCACAGTCCGTCGGTGACTCGCGAATAGAAATGTAAAAGCAAGAGGAAAAACAGATTCCTACGTTGTGGCGGGAATTGAAACAAGCTGAAACAATGTTCCGATCCTTGGGGAACAGAATGTGTTATTGAGTCGAGTGGTCATCGAGCCATGCAGGGCCATGTGGCAGGCCACTGATCGATCTACACCGTTATCTCGAAATCGATTATGCGATTAGCGCCTTGTTAAGAGCAATACTGACATCGTGAGTCGTAATCGGCCTTCCGTCCTCCATGATCGATATATTGAATAGGCCAACTTTATTCGTTGATTTTGCCACTGGAAATGCGCGTAGCAGTTACCTTCGTAATCGCGTGGCGTTTAATTCTTTTCATTTTTAATTACATCGGTCGGTTGGCGGGTTGCCGACCGAATCAACTCGAAACAACGACACAACGTATCGATATCGAAAATTCATACATGGACGAAAATCATGTAGAACTAACAAGAAAAGGTATCGAACCCGAAAATTCAAGTTATGAAACTTTGCGTGTAAGTAGAGTAAGGCAAGTCTAATATTACATTGCAACTTCTGTTTTGTGTTGAATTTCTCTGTGAAGGGGTGTAACCACCCCTTGAAGAAATGCAAATTTTTCTTCTCCGCGGATCATTTCGAGAAGAGTAAGAAATGGTGAAGAAAATTTTTGATTTTGAAATTTTATTTTACAATTGTATAGACGTGAAAGAACAATGTACTTTTTGTTTAAACTTTGTTTTGCTATCTCTTACTATTCTTAAGACAATCCACGGGAAAGAAAAGTTTGCATTTTTTTCAAGGGTTGGTTTTACCCTTTTAAAATGAAATTCGACATGAAAAGAAATTACAGTGTACTACTAAGCTTGACTTACTCTACTTACATACAAAGTTTCATAATTTTTTGAATTTCCAGATTCGATACTTTTCCTTGTAAGTCAGACGCCTGTGCAATTCTTCGCTTATCCGCGACATTTTCAGTGTCGGCGGTAATGGACTTGAGAAACGCCGATCTGTACAAGTTTCCTTAAACGTTGTTATTTTATACCATCGACCTTAAAGACCGCAGGAGGATATAAAATGTTCACAGAATTTTAAATTTTGTTTAAACTGTGTTTTTAAAAAAAGGAAAACTATAAAAATTTGTACTTTTATAGTTAGCATATTTAATTTTACTTAGAAAACAAGTACCCACAATTTTTATCACACAGGAGGCTTTTTACGAGCATTCTACTAGCAGAAATAATCTACCATACATACTATTGATTAGATAAATAATAAAAAAAAATGGAGGTAACTGAAAACATCAATATGAATTGTTTAAAGTACACATGTGCTATAATTTTGTATTATAATGAACGTAATGTATACTTGTATTTTATACAGTTTTATATAATTAATTTTTCATGTTCAGTCGTTTCTGTTTCGTTCTGCGGTTATTAACACCTTACCTTATAACAACGTGCCAGACTCGTGGTGAAAATTTTTAATATGATTTAACAAACATAAACGTTATAACATTATTCGATTCATCCGAATTCAAAGTAAATATTATTCTTCTGTAATCAATTGTTATATTCAATAGCAAACTTAGACATAGAATATGCTTACAATTTTTCTCTTTTTCTAATAAATTATTAATGACAGAGTGGTCGAGTTAAGAAAAAAATAATAAGGCAAGGAGTTAACAGTCAGTTCATCAATAGCTGCTTGTGAATTAGTTTCTGTCTCTGTCGCACGATACAACCTTGTTACCGCATGTACTAATTTACTTTACGTGTGCTACTATTGACAGATCGTTATAGTGCATCAGAAAATTCAGTAAAATTCAGTCTTCTTTCTTTTTAAATATCTTGTATCATTTTAAATATAAATACGTATTTACATATACGTAGGTATATAATTTTCTTTGACTGCTTTTTTAGCATTTTAGCTATTTTTGTAAGGCTTCATTTCATCTTTTATCTCCATCAACACCTCTTCACCCTCCTTCATTTTCCCTCCTGCTCTACATTCTCCTGAATCCCCCCATACTTATACCCCTCCGGTTTAATCTTCCCAACCTTCTTCCAATTTTCTTCTATTATCCATGTTTCCACTAGTTCAGTGATATCTCGTTTTTCAACATATTGCCAGAAAGTTTCTCGAAATATCAGTTTCAATTCTTCTACTCTTTTTTCCTTTGCATTTTTCCTTTCTTGTCCAACTATTTGATTTTTCCGTCCGATCTAATCCCTAATTCCCCACTTCTGCTTTCTTTTTCGTGTAACCTTTCTTTTACTTTTCTTAATGCCTTTTCTTTCTTTCATCCTTTCATCCTTTATTATTCTTTGTTCTTTATATTGCGTACCTTCCTACCATCGCGCCCACTCGTCCTTCATTCCCTTTAATCTTCCTTTTAGTCTATAAATTCTAAATTTCTTCTTGTTGGCTCAAAATGAAGGTAGATTTTATCATATATGAGAGACTACTTTTTTAAGGGAACGCAACATAAATAGATCCGTGTGTGAAGTGTAAATAATAAGATCTTCCAATAAAAATACTTCTACTTGAAACGAACCTTAATTATGAATCTCCTACTTGGAATTGATGAACTTTTTCTAATTGTAAAAACGTTCGAATTTCATGTTACTGTCTTCAATTATTGTTTGTAGTATTTTAGCTTGCAATACTACATTTCGAAACTACATGAAAAGCAACCGTAAGAATGCATCAACTTCAACCCCTATTTTCTTTCTCCTCATTATCATTTTCTCCTCTTTCCTTGATGCAATCTTTACTTCTACTAGTCTACACTTTTCTTCTTACCCTATTTCTATCACCGTCTTTACTATCATTTTCATTAAGTCTAATATCGCTTTCATTAACCCTTCTACCTTTGTTTACTGACCTTCTTACTTTTCCAATCATTTAATCACCACGATACTCTTCGTATCTATACTGTGTTCATTACTTTGCTATCGGCCCTCGTCCAATTTGTCTGAATCTCTTGTTTTTTTTTATTACTC